TGACTTGTTGACTTTATTTGACTTTGACTCGACTAGAATTTGACGGTTGTCACATCATCCCCCCGTTAGAAGGAATTTCGTCCCGAAATTAGTGTTTTGACTGGGACTTCAAGAGTTGGGGAAAAGCAGGTATTTTTGTTTCATTTGATCCTCACGTTCCCAGGTAAACTCGGGTCCTCGTTTAGCGTTCCAACGGACCTTCACGATAGGGATCTGACTTTGTTTTGTTCTTTTGATCTCTCGATCCATGATTTCAACCGGTTCTTCCACGAAGTGGAGACTCTCGTTAACTTCAATTTCATCAAGTGGTATCACGAGGGTCTCGTCGGATAGGCACTTCTTTAAGTTTGATACGTGGAAGGTCGGGTGTATGTTGTTAAGTTCCTGGGGTAGCCGAAGTTTGTATGCCACCGGGCCAATCCTGGCAAGGATTTCGAACAGCCTGATGTACCTTGGGTTTAGTTTACCACGTTTACCAAAACGTATCGTTCCTTTCCATGGTGAGACCTTCAGTAGCACCCGGTCCCCAACCTGGAATTCCAAGGGTTTGCGTCGCTTATCGGCGTAGCTCTTTTGTCTATCTTGAGATGCTTTTAGTCTTTCCCGAATTTGAACAATCTTTTCCGTAGTTTCCCTTATGATTTCAGGGCCAGTGAGGGTGCTGTTAGGGACTTGCCCTTTTGCTAACTGTGTATCTCCCACTTCAGCCCAGCACAGTGGTGATCTGCGCTTGCGGCCATAAAGAGCTTCAAATGGCGTGACCTTGATGCTAGTATGATAGTTGTTGTTGTATGAGAATTCAATAAGTGGTAAATGGGTATCCCAAGCTTTACGAAAAGTCTATCACACACGCTCTTAGCATATCTTCCAGGGTTTGGATAGTTCTTTCGCTCTGCCCGTCAGTTTGAGGATGGTAGGCCGTACTCATGTCTAGCCTGGTCCCTAGAGCTTTCTGTAAGGACTGCCAGAACCGTGAAGTGAATCTACTATCTCTGTCAGAGATAATGGATATTGGCACACCATGTAGTCGTACAACCTCTTTGATGTACGTCCTAGTGAATTTTTCCATCTTGTCGGTCTCCTTTATTGGCAGGAAGTGCGCGGATTTGGTCAATCTATCGATGATTACCCAAATGGTATCAAGATCACCCTTTGTCTTAGGTAGTTTGGTTATGAAATCCATGGTTATTCGTTCCCACTTCCATTCGGGTATCGCAGGTTGCTGTAGCAAACCCGAAGGCTTTTGGTACTCTATCTTAACCTTGGCGCAAGTCAGACACTTGCTCACGTATGTAGCGATTTCGGCTTTCATGTTAGGCCACCAGTAGAGTTTCTTCAGGTCCAGGTACATCTTGTCTGAACCGGGATGTACGGAGTATCGAGTTTTGTGTGCTTCATTCAGGACGACGTCCCTGAACCCGCCGAATTTTTGGTGTCCAAATTCGGTTCATGAGATAACGAGCTCCATCGTCCTTGACTTCTAGATTCTTATCCATTCCTCTTAAAGCCTCACCTGCCACATTCTCAGGCTTCAAAGCTTCCAGCTGGGCCTCTTTGATTTGCACGGACAGGTGCGAATGGATTGTCATGGTTAATGACTTTACTCGGCGACCCGAGTATTCTTTTCGACTTAAGGCATCAGCTACCATGTTGGCCTTGCCTGGGTGATAACGAATCTCACACTCGTAATCATTCAGTAATTCTACCCATCGTCTGTGGCTCATGTTGAGCTCTTTTTGATTGAGGATGTGCTGAAGGCTTTTGTGATCGGTAAAGATGGTACACTTTGTTCCGTAAAGGTAGTGCCTCCAGATCTTTAGGGCGAATACTACTGCTCCCAATTCGAGGTCATGTGTGGCATAGTTGACCTCGTGCGTTTTTAATTGCCTCGATGCATAGGCAATGACCTTTCCTCATTGCATTAACACACACCCCAAACCCTGGTTTGATGCGTCACAGTAGACCACAAGGTCTTCGGTTCCCTCGGGCAGGGATAAAATCGGGGCGCTGCACAGGGCCTTCTTTAATGTTTGGAAAGCGGTTTCTTGTTTCTCTCCCCATCTGAAAGTCACACTCTTTTAGGTCAGGGTGGTAAGTGGTTTGGCAATCTTGGAGAAGTTCTGGATGAACCTTCGGTAGTTGCCAGCGAGGCCTAAGAATTGGCAGATTTTTGTAGGCGTCCTTGGTGCTGACCAGTTCTCAATCGCTTTGATTTTGGAGGGATCCACGTGTATCCCTTTCTCGCTAACCACATGACCGAGGAAGTCCACTTCTCGGATCCAAAATTCTCACTTCGAAAATTTTGCATACAATTTCTCCGCCCTTAGTGTCTCCAATACTTGTCGTAGATGTTGGCTATGCTCTTCCTTACTCCTGGAATAGACCAGGATGTCATCTATGAAGACAATCACGAACTTGTATAGTTAAGGCCGACACACCCGGTTCATTAGATCCATGAACATTGCGGGTGCGTTTGTTAATCTGAAGGGCATTACTACAAACTCGTAGTGACCGTACCGAGTTCTGAACGCCGTTTTGGGAACATCCTCCTCCTGAACTCGTAGCTGATGGTATCCCGACCTCACGTCGATCTTTGAGAAGTAAGATGCTCCTTGGAGTTGGTCAAATAGGTCTTCGATTCGGGGTAAAGGGTATTGGTTTTTGATGGTAAGCTTATTTAGCTCGCGGTAGTCGATGCACATGCGAAACGATCCATCCTTCTTTTTCACAAAAAGAACTGGTTGATGAATCGTTGTATCGAGTATTAATCAAAATCAGAGTTAAACGAATGCAGATTGAACAAACGATGTAAATAAGATCTGGTTTCTGCTCATTTATGCTTTCAATTTTTACAGAGAAAATAGACAAAAAGGACTCTTATCTAACTCTAGTAAAGTTCCATATTATAGGAACAGTGAAAGCATACAAAAAATACTAAGGCATTGACAATTAAGCTTCGTACGAAATACACCTCAGTAAATAAACTTAACAAAACATACGAAGGGTAAAACAAACTTCGACATATTACAATATAATTCGACCCTAACAATCTCCCCCTTTGTAATAATGTCGACCTTCGTCAGTTCAAGAGTATCTGTATAGCATACAACATAACCCTTCAAATCTCAGTGTACCATGAGATTATTTTCTTCAGTTCCTTCTTATCTCCTTCGTTATTCTTCTTGCAACTATTCATACGAACAATGAAATTCGTATATTGGGATGTTGTATATCTTTCCACTTCAGAAGCTTGAAACAAGAATCTTTTCGCCTTCCCATTTTTGTCTTTCCCAACAAATACCATCCCAAATGGCTTCAAACATATTTCTCCGTCTGCATACTTCTTCAACTCAGGTTGAGTTAAAGGAAGTTCCATTGGCACTTTTATAGTCAATCCCTTTGCTGTAGCTAACTCAACATCAGTAAGTGCTAAACACTCATAATAGTTGTCAATGAAAATCTTGATGTGAGCTAACCCAAGTCGAAAAACTTCAGGATCAGTTTCTCGAAGATATGAAGCATATTTATCCTTTAGCAACAATGCAACTTGTATCAGATCATACAAGTTCATTAGGGGAAAATCAGCCACAGAGAAATCACACATTTGCCCATTCGCCCTCGAAACAATAAAGCGAAGATTCTGCATCATATTTTCGAACAACACATCTCGCTTTATGCTTATCACCTTCTTTATCTTCACCAGAGACCAAATCTCCTCTGGAAGCTTTCCAAGTACAGCATGAAATCTGATCTTCATGTATGTGTACTCATCATCATTGTCAAATTTCTCAGCAATTTTGTACTGAGCCATGATGAACATCATCTCATTGATGGGAAAATCCAATTGACTCATATCTGTGTTGAGAACAACATAGCTTTTCTTTGGCTTCTTTTCGAAAGCATACATATGGTTATATGTAACTTTCGACTCTATTGTTTCATAATTGTAATGCTTTGAAGGATCACCCTTGTTCATCCCAGGTGGATCATTGGCACGAAGACGCATAATGCTTTGTACAATTCGGAGCTTTTCAATCTCAGCCTCCGCTTCAGCTTTCTTTTCTTCCTTTGACTTTTCGACCATAACAGTTTTGCCTTTGTCTTTTACAGAGGAATTATCAACACTTTCCTTAGGCTTCGAACTGCTGCCACCTTCCGCAATCACAATTCCTTTAGAAATTTATCTTGAAATTAGCTTCGTTGATATTGGCATTGTTGTCACAACAGTCGAAATGACTGGCTCAACAGTTGACACGATTGGTTTTGTTATTGGAATCTTCGAAGGAAACACCTTTCCAACAACCTTTACATCTGCATGCAAATCTTCACCACTAGCCTTCGTACCACCAAACTCCTTTTCTCCCCCTTGCACCCCTGTGAAAACAGGCGGGGCATTTGTTGGAAGAAGGCTAGAAATGTGAGAAAGAGGAGCAAGTTGTTTGTGTAGAATAGCTTCAAAATGAACGAACTTTTGATACAAAAAGTCCGGAGTGATAAACGGAGATGAAACTGATTTAACAGTTAAATCTTTGAGGTCCTTCAGCAAATTGAGCACTTCCATAAAGCTTTGATTTTCCGTTGTCGACAATTGAGTAAGTTGAGGACTTAAATCTTCGTACAACTTGACATATTTGGTAACAGCATCACAAATAATGTCAACTTTCTGATTAATCGAAGCATTATCCCGTTGCACAGTTGAGATTTCCTTTTGCATATCCTGGCGAAGCTCTTGAATTTGCAAATTCACATCTTCTCTCACCTTCTTGACATCTTGAACGAATAACACATGTCGTTCTTTTACCAAATGTTTGAATTCTTTCACCTCCCCTCTAAACATCGAAGTGAGAGAATTTACCCTTAATTCATCATTCTGATCATTGTGATCAATCTTCTCCAAGAGTCGAATCTCTGAATCTCGGACCATTCCAGAGACTTTACTCACCACCTTTGCTTCGAAAGTTTTCAGCATACTATCAACCTCCATATTAGAAACAGACGAATTACTCCCCAAATCTGCTTGAGATTGAAGAATAGAATTCAATTTCTTGTTGAGAATCTTGAATTGTTTCATTATCATCAACATATGATCAGTAAAGTGATCTTCTTCATCATCAAACTGTAAATCTTCAAATGTGCCTCCAAAACCTTCGTTGTCAGTATCCGTTTCAACAACAGGTGAAGTTTTAACAGGCGAATCAATCTTGGGTGAATCAGTGGATTGAGATGGAAAAAGAGTTGTAAAGGGTTAATGAAGTATGTGTTCAAAGGTTGGAGAACTTGTAGTATTTGGAATAATAAAAGGAGGTAAAGACACTAAAGTATCTGTCATTGAAGATACATGAATACCTTGAGTAATAGCCTCAACTTCTTCGTTTGACTCTCCCTCACCCATGTTGACATTTACATCCGTATCAGATACGTGTGTAGAAATGCCTGAAGTTCGAACCTCCTCAGTATTTGATTCAGTTAACGAGACTTCGGGTGGGATGACAATAGTCTGCTTAGGAGTAGATACAGATTGAGAAACAATTGGTTCTGGTGTGTCAGGAACTACTTCTTCTTTGGAAGACGCCTCTTGGATAACCAACTTGCGTTGCCGTTTCTTCTTCTTTAAATTGGGTTTGGCCACATCTTCAGCTCGACGTTTCTTGGATAGAGGCGAAACTGGAACTGGAACCTCTCGAAAAATGACTCCTTGATGAGAGAGTTGTGGTTTACGAACATTAGAAGGAGAAGATTTTAACACACCATCAGAAGATTTTCGTGAACCCCTAGTCCTTTTCTTCAATCGTCGGAAATCACCAGATTTTGAAGGAATATTCTCTGCCACTACTGTATCATCAACAGGTTCCACTGGTTTGATGACAACAGTCGAAACATTCACTTCAACCGTCTCAGGCTTCTTTGGAGACTTCGTGGATTTGTACACAATCTTCATTGGAGACTTCTTTGATTCGTGCACTGGCTTCTTTGGTGTAGCCTTTGCATCCTTTTTAGAACATTTAGACTTCTTGGAAGGACCAACTTCTTCTTTTGACAATAATTTTCCAACCTCAATATCTGGATTGATAGTTTTCAAATATTCAACCAACACCGAATTCGTTGACTCAACCCTCTTGAACATTGCATCAGGAATCCGAGCAATGTGTGTGAAGACTTCCAAATCATCCGGAACTTCCTTTGGAAAGTGATACTTCAGAAACTCTACCTTTTCTTCATCAGCAGGGACAACAATTCCTTCTTTATCATAGAAATAACCAAGGATTAAGCTCCAATACCTAGCACACGAAATGCCTTGAACCACATTCGTGTTTTCGACACTCTTTTGGAATTCCTTCCACAGTTGTGTAGAGTAGTCGACAGGGATATCATAATACAATCCTGCCATCATCGCATAAACCTCCATGCGACCTTTGTCTAAGCCAACACTTCGACCTGTCAAGCGTCGAAGAAAAATTTCAAACAAGAAATTCCAAACAGTTGGCAGGGATGACTTCTTGAAATCACTAATCTTCGTGAGTGGGGGTTGATGACCCATCTCATTAAACATATGAATAACTTGTGGATAAGAAAGATCAGTAACAAGTTGATTATTGGGAATATCCAGAATCTGACAAAAGATCTTCTTGGACAAACGAATTTTCTTGTCATTCACCAGTTGAAAGGTGATGATATCCATTGCTTTGCTATAAGTAGCAGTGGATCCTGCCTGAGAAAGCCATGAGAGAGGAACAACGAATGAATTGAACATCGCCTTTGAAGAACAGAACTCTTCAATACGACAATTAGCATCTTCAATTCTTCTGGATACAGAGACACATCCCCTTCCTCTTGATAATTGATGCTTTGAATCTTCATGATCGGTTGAGAAGTGATGTCTTCAGTTGTTCGAGAAGTAGAATCAACGCCAGCCATGATTAGGGTTTAAAAGCTTTGAATTTGGGTATTTGAGTTCTTTTGTGAGCGTAAAAAGATAAAGAATTCATAAATGCCCTTTTTATATGTAACCCTTAATTTGAATTGAACGCGAGATAGGCATTGATTGAGATCTGACGTGGCACCTTAAAAGTCGCACCAGTCTGCCAATAAAGTTGCCATGCGTCAAAAAGTAACTGTCACATCGCCTTGAAACCGGAAACGTCTCCTCACACAGTCTGTTCGTGTCACCTCAAGGAATATTAACCGTCATCAACCTTCGGATGGAGGGTAAGCTCTTTCATCTTTGGGTTTAGAGACGAAGTCATGTGCTAGACTGTCGAAATCATCATCCTGAGTTGGTAGTACTCAAAACCTTAAGGATTTCATGTGTGATGTGTGCCAAAGAAAAGATAAGAAACAAATTAACGAAAATTTGGATATGTGATGTCAAAAATTTCGACACAAAAGCAGAAAAACCCCGGGCGAAGGTTACTTCATTAATTATCAAGAGAGATAATTAACTACTTGTATATTTTCCCGTGAATTACAATCGAATACTTGTAGAGAAGTATCGAAGGGCTTCTTTTGTTAGGCTTATTGGGGTGGTTTAAATTTCGTTACATATCATCCTAAACATAAGGTGAGTAATTGTAACAGAAATTACTTATTTGACTAGTGTAGTCAGTGACAAGTATGCTTTGAAATATGTTGATAGTAACTTTGAAAGCAAATGAAACTCATACAAAAATCATATTCATAAAAAAATATTTGTTCTGGATCCTGTTGGGTAACAAACATCGTAGGTTTCGATAGTTTGATCAAGATCACACATAAGAATAGAATATGATTTTGAGTTTCGAAAAATGGTACTGAAACAAATGTTTCGTCAAATCTGGAACATAGTTCCCCATGTGCAAGTGTAAGAAGTTTTGTGATGAAAAAGAGTGGTTATGAAGAACCAATTGTACCTCTGTTATTTTCAGACAAAACAGATAACTCTTAACTCATGTGAGAAGAGTAAGGTAGCTCAATCGACTAATGTGAATAAGCCTAAAGCCTGACTTGGGAAGAAATTTGCGTATGAAATTTCCTTAGACTTCGAAACACACATTGTTGTCTCCAGAGGCTTGGGTCAAAAATGCTGCAGCATGCTTCTTGGGAACAAACCTAACTAGGACATAGTTTGATGAAAGTTTACCTTCCCATAGAAACATAAGCATGACCCTTGAAAAAATATTCGTGTTATCATACAACCAATATGCAAATTGTCGAATTCGAAGCGTGTCGAAGCGTTGACTATAAACAGTAACCGCTGAATGGCGTCTTATTGCCTCTGAATCGACACATTTGAATAACCACACCTTTGCTATACATTCGAAATCCTCCTGGAACTGAACTGCTTCAATCATTCCAAACCTGTCAAAATTCGAACAAACGATTTTTCATCCAAAGCTTTTGTAAAAATATCAGCAAGCTGATCAGTTGTTTTACAAAATGAACTTCAATGTTTCCATGTTCCACATGATCTTTGATAAAGTGATAACGAAGAGCTATATGTTTAGTTTTCGAATGTTGTACTGGATAATGACAAATGCGTATAGCACTTTGAGAATCACAGTACAATGAAATCTTTTTCATATTCACTGCATAATCCCTCAACTGACTTTGAATCCAAATAATTTGTGATGTACAGGCAGCAGCTGCTACATATTCGGCTTCAGCAGTAGAATCGAAACACACGTTTGCTTCTTTCGACTGCCAACTAACCAACTTTCCATCCAAAAATTGACAACCACCACTAGTACTTTTTCGATCCAATGTACACCCTCCTAGATCTGCATCTGAAAATGCCTGAATGAAAAATCCTGTTTTCGAAGGATACCACAATCCTAACGAAATTGTTCCCTTGAGATAACGAAAGATATTTTTACTCACAGCTGTTAAATGTGGTTCTCGAGGATTTGCTTGATACCTAGCACAATTACATACAGAAAACATGATATCAGGTCTACTTGCAGTAAGATAAAGTAATGAACCTATCATGCTCCTGTATAAAGTAAGATCAACCGCAGGCGATTCTAACGAAGGTGTTAGCCTTGTGCCAACAGCCATTGGTACTCTTAACTTCGTGCTATTTGTCATTCCAAACTTTTCGAGCAAATTCCTTGTATATTTCTCTTGATTGATGAATATGCCTTCTCTGTTTTGACATATGTTTAAGCCAAGAAAATTATTGATTTTACCCATCATGCTCATTTCGAATTGGCTTTTCATCAAGTTTTCAAATTCTCTAGACAAAGCAGGGTCAGTAGAGCCAAAAATAATATCGTCAACATAAATTTGAACAAGCATCAGATGACACCCAACTTTCTTTCGAAATAATGTGGGGTCAACTGATCCTTGCTTAAATTTCGACTGTTTTAAGAAACTGGTAAGAGTTGCATACCATGCTCTTGGTGCTTGTTTTAACCCATATACAGCTTTATCTAAAATATATACATGATCAGGATGCATTTCATTTACGAACCTGGAGGTTGTTCTACGTAAACAGTTTCTTCAAGTTCTCCATTGAGAAAGGCACATTTCACATCCATTGATAGACATCAAAATCCTTATGAGCTGCATATGCTAAGAATATTCGAACACCTCGAGTCTCGCAACAGGGGCAAATGTTTCTTCATAATCAATTCCTTCTTGTTGCGAATATCCTTTACAACTAAACGTGCTTTATTTCGTACAATATTTCCATCTTTGTCGGTTTTGTTTTTGAAAATCCATTTTAACCCGACAATCGAAACATTTTCAGGTTTAGGAATTAATCTCCAAACCTTGTTTCTTTCAATTCAGCCAGTTCTGATTGCATTGCAACAACCCAATCCGAGTGTTCCATTGCCATCTTAACTGTCTTTGGTTCAATTTTAGATATGAAACATTGAAATGCAAAATTCTTGATGAGTATTTAATACCTCATTCTTAGCACGAATCTGAGCTCTTGTTAATACTCCATATTGAGGATTTCCAATGACCTGATCTATTGGATGAGTCTTTTCCATTTCTCTAATGGTGGATAAGCCGGATCAAATTCCAAAGGTGCATCTTCGTACATCTCTTCATTTTCAGATCCTACAATAGAAACATTATCATTTAGATCATGAAAATCATCATTTTGATTAAAATTCATTGTATCATTTTCCTCCTCAACACTATTATCATTTTGATGCTCCTCCTCAACTAGATGCTCCCCCTCAACAACATCATCCATCTCTCATTCTCATCCCCCCTCGAAAGAATGCTCCCCCTCAACCAGAGTATTCGAATCCAAGTGCTCTCCTTCGACTGGATTATCAAGCATACTTTCGCCAAGTCCAATAGAATTCATTGTTGAATTAACATCTACTATGTTTTGAGGAATTTCCAAGTCATCATTATGCTTCGAAGATTCAGAGTGATGATTATCATTGCATGAACTTCAGCATCCTCATCCCTGTCAGGAATACCAAAAATTAAATCATAATCAAAATCAGATGAGTTTGATTCTTCAGTTTCATCAGATGATTCATTAATAATTGGTTTTTGTTCAAATTGCTTTTCAACTTGTTTGACATAATAATCATCGAAATTAAGATTGAAAGTTTCTTCGACTTTTCGTGTTCGCTTATTTAACACTCTGTATGCAACCGAATTGTGCGAATATCCCAAAAAATATGCCTTCGTCAGCTTTAGCTTGATATTTGAAAGGTTATCTTTAAGATTCATGATAAACACCTGCAGCCAAAAACATGAAGGAATTTGACATTAGGTTTCCGATTATTGATAATTTCATACAGAGTGATACTGAATCGACGATGAATGAAAAATCGATTTTGAGTGAAACAAGCTGTGGAAACTGCTTCAGCCCATAGATATCGAGGAAGATTCGCATATGTCAACATCGTTCTTGCTGCTTCACAAAGTGACCTATTTCGTCTTTCAACCACACCATTTTGCTGCGGTGTATAAGGCGAAGAAAAAAATTATGCA